TCAGGGTTGGTGGTAGTCATGTCCACTCCGCACCTACCACGTGAAACACGTGGTATTATACCAGCATCCTGAGGAACATCAAGACTCATCTCATCCCTTTCAGAATTTTCAGCCTAGATAAGATTGATGAGAGAGAAATGCCTGACAACTCCATGTTTATATAGCATGGACATGGGTTCATTCTCTCATTGCTAAGTACTTTTTTTTTTAAGATTTTATTTATTTATTCATGAGAGACACACAGAGAGAGAAGCAGAGACACAGGCAGAGGGAGAAGCAGGCTCCCTGCAGGAAGCCAGATGCAAGACTCCATCCCAGGACCCTGGGGTCACGCCCTGACCCGAAGGCAGACACTGGACTGCTGAGCCCCCCAGGCAGCTCTCTTGCTAAGTACTTATTGAGCACCTACAATGTGCCAGGCACTGTACTAGGTACCAAGGATGTAGCAGACAGCAAAACAGCCAGTTCCTTAGCTGCCACCACAATACCGGGGTCTGCAGCCGGGGGCTGGCTCTCAGATGTTACTGGACTCTGAGCCCTCTTCTTGTACTGGGACACTTCTGGCTAGGGACAAGGACAGGTACAGAGGTGCAGGAAGAATTTTGTTCTCATCACACTCTTCTTGCCAGGGTCCCATTTTGATGGAAGAGAGGATTTTTAGGACCGTAGGGACATCCGTATTGGGAGACACGGAGTATGGGCAGAGGAACACTTAATGGAGCACCAGCTAATGCGCTAGGACAGGATGCCAGGCTCTGGGAAATCTGTGAGTAAGATTAGGTCACATTCCAGTGGGGCAGACAGACATGATCAGGTCTTTCCAATACCACTGGATAAACGTATAAGTGCTGGAGTGGAGCCCAGAGGAAGGAGCCTCTAAGCCTAGCCAGCCTGGAGAGGTCTTCCTGGAAGAGGTGACATTTGACTGAAATCAAGAGCCACGAATGGGAGTGGGCAGGGTGAGGGGAGTGGCGGAGGAGGGCAGCCACCAAGCACAGAAGGCTTGGAAGGACAATGGGGACTTGGAACTCCCTGCTTCTCCCCTCCCCCATAGTTTTATTACCCTCCCAGGCTGTGAGAAAAAGAAACGTCGTTTTTCAAAAGCAGAAGGAGTCGGGATCCCTGGGTGGCGCAGCGGTTTGGCTCCTGCCTTTAGCTCAGGGCACGATCCTGGAGACCCGGGATTGAATCCCACGTCGGGCTCCCGGTGCATGGAGCCTGCTTGTGTCTCTGCCCCTCTCTCTCTCTCTCTCTCTCTCCCTCTCTCTCTCTCTCTCTCTCTGTGACTGTCATAAATAAAAAAGAAAAAAGCAGGAGTCATCCAAAGATTTGTATTTGTTTCAAATGGAAGTGACTACTGACAGAAACACAACATTGTTTTGTCAGAACCCAGTCTGTATTTATTCCTTGTCTTTGTTTGATTAAGCTAATCCCTCATCGGTTTCCCTTAGGACCATGCAGATCCTAGTGGCCATAAATCTCCAGTATTATAAAAACAGTATGAAAGTACTGCCCACACAAAGCCAACTGGCAAACTTGCTGCTTGTGGGGCCTGTCTTCTGGGATGCGAGGATAAGCCTCCTGTTCCAACCACACTCTGCACCCTCACGCCCGTGTCTGCAGTTCTGTCCGCCATGTGGAGAGGGACTCGAGGACAGTGCTAATTATGAGATTTAAAAGAGGAAACTGAGCCTGGCAGTCCGTGGACATAGAGGGGGAGGCTGACTCCTGGGTCTAGGCACCTTCCCCTCAGCTGACTGTGAGGCCTCTACCCAACCCAACGACCCCCAGCCTGGCTGCACGCTGCAGTTGTCTCCAGAGCCTCAGCAGACCTCGCTGCCTGCACCCAGCCCCAGTCAGTCCCGCTCATGGAAGGGGCGCCCTGAGCATCTGGTGGTGCTAACCGGTAGCCAGGGTTGGGCACTGCTGCTTGTCAGCCAGCACTTGCAGTTGTTCACAGGCTGTCCTGAGGGTCTCCCAGCCTTTGCTTGAGAGAAATAAGCATTGCCTCTCTACCTACCCCTTTGGGAGAAGTATTGTGGAGAAAAAGATGATTGCCTCAAGGTCTTGGTTCATTGCTTTCAAAATGCTGCTTTCAAGGGGATTCCTTTGTAACCTGTTGGAAGGTTTTCCATTATTATAAAAGCTCATGTTCTAAGCTCGTGTCAGAAAATTTGAAAGCATGGACCCCTGGGTGGCTCAGTGGCTGAGCGTCTGCCTTTGGCTTAGGGTGTGATTCCAGGACTCCGGGATGGAGTCCCACATCAGGCTCCCTGCTTGAAGACTGTTTCTCCTTCTGCCTGTGTCTCTCTTTCTCTCTTTCTCTGTGTCTCTCATAAATAAATAAAATCTTTAAAAAAAAAAAAAAAGAAAAGAAAATTTGAGGGCAGATCATTCTAAGTAAGAATAAAAATCCCCTGTACTCCCACCATGCCTTTCTAACCAGCATTAGATAGGCTTCCTGCTGGCCCCCAATGGAGGTAAAGCAGCAGCCAGAGCAGAGAAGGGAGGCAGACCCAGGTGAGGAAGCCCTTGCCCCCCCACCTCCAGAGATGGCCTTAGGGTTCAGGGCTGTAGATTGTTCCAGTGTCCTGTGGTGACCTCCAGCCAGGAGGCTTTATGCAGGCTCTTCCTCCTCCCCATCAGGGAGCAGGGAGTGGAGCAAGGGAGACACAGTAAATACATGCCTGCATAAACACCTATGCACTTAACATGGTGAGAGATGCCAAGGGGAGAAGTGCAGGGGTGTGAGATAGCTTGTAGGGGAGGCGGCAGGCTCTGACTCTGAATAACAATTGAAGATCCTTGTACCAGGAGGTTGATTTTTCCATCAATGTGCAAGCAAATCAAAGCTCCTTCAGCATGGAATTCAAAAAAAACTTACCACTATTCCCAAACAAAGCAGCAATTTTTATTTAACAGCTAGAAGCCCTTTAGGTTTCACAGAGCTAAAGGAACCGCCAGATCCCACCTTCTAAAGGTCAGCTCAGGTGGAATCCTCTCTCTCCCTCTTGATGGATTTTACCCTGACTGGTCCAGTTCGCCTGCTGAACGGGATTGATTTCTCAGCCTGCCTTCCGGCGCTCTATCATCTGGTGTCAGCTGTCCTTCCCTCCTGCTACTTCCCTTGGAATTCCCAGTGCGGAATTCAGCTATCATGCCTGTCCCGTTTTCCTCATTTCTGCACATTTACTCTCACTGCTCCCTCAGCCCAGAGTGCTTTTCTCTTTCTCCATTCTCTTACCTGCCAGCTTTTTCCATTCTACTCTTGACCATGGGGCTAGTTTGTTCTACCTCAGGACCTTTGCATTTGCTATTCTTTCAATCAGAAATGATCTTTCTAGAGCTTCTCTTTACTAACTCTTAGAATACAGCTGGGTGACAGCAGGAGGCACTTTGTCTGTTTGGTTCACTGCTGTATCCCCCAATGCCTGAAACAAAGGGGGTACTTCATTTACTGAACAGATGAAGAGTATCCTATGATTCAGATTTTTCTTAGATCTCTGGCTTAGGCCTGTAATGAACAGTAGGTTTCATCATTAATTATTCACTATGATTTTTATGTGAGGTTCTTGGTGTTTTTTTTCTATCTGAATCCACTGGAAATCTCTACTGGAGTTCCCAATTGGAAATCTAAGCTATAAATATACTGGTAAGAGATAGAAGAACTTGCATCTATAATTTTCTTCATCTACTTTATCAATTTGGGAATGAAAATACTTCTTTTAGTACATGAAAGCCAGAGTCCCTGTTTGTACAATCTTAGACATTAACATTTTTTAATGTAATGATGCAGATTTTATTTTTTAAAATGATATAGTGCATTGACAGAAGTGATGAATGAATCAGCTTTTATCTTCTTATCAATTTAATATTTTACATTTATCTAAAAGCATAATAAACAATAAAACAATGATACTGGAGATTACATTAAAGTGTAGGCATTAGACTCAGGGATCAATCAAGCTTTCTAGTTAATTGAGTTTTCATCATAGTGAATAACTTTTAACCAGAGAAAACTCTTTTAACATATTTGATCCCTTTAATGAATGCCCTTTGGTTTTCTTCAACTTTAATGGTAAAATCACTGGAAGAGCTAGTTACAAAACCAAGCCATTTTCCTTTCTGAGAAATAACATCATGTCAGCCTGTTTTCTTGCAAAGGAGGGACAGAGTCAGTGATGGATTGAAAATGTGTTTAACCTTTTCGCTCTCTGATATATTTTTAGTTTCCTTAAGTAAGTGCATTCCTGTGAGCACATTCTTACATTGCATTTGCGTAAAGAGCCAGGGCTCAGAACATCATAAATATTTGACTCAAATGGGCCTGGTAATAACTCCATATTTCCCTAGTAATCTTTAATACCTCTTTGGCTTCACATTTTCCTCATTTGCTACTGGCGTGAAGAAATGGAGCTCAAAGAGGATTTCTAAAGATGGTTGTGGTAGACAAGTGGAATGAGAAGGATGTCCCAAAGGACAGATGCAGAATTGGACCTGCCATTTTGGGGGTAGGGGTGAGTAGCAGGTCTTTTCACTGTGCTCTCTCTCAGCTTCCCCCTCTGCAAAATGTCAAAAGCTGTGCCAGACTATCCCAGGTACACTGGTGAGACTGGGGTTGCAAAGCCTTTTCATTCTCAAAAAACAGGAATGGTACCTGATGCAGACGAGTACAAAGGCTTGCTTGTGATACCTTACAGTTCTCAGGAGCCATCAAAGTGTTTCAGAGCATTTCCATGAATATAAGGAAAAGACAAAACCCAGTGTTAACTTGAAATTCTTCAGTGCATTTAATAGAGTTGAATGATTCCAACCTTGAAAGATATGCTTTTTATTTATACATAGAAAGGCATCAAAATGTTAACAGCAATTGCCTCTGGATGGTAGAATTCCAGTGGAAAGGGATTTTGAAAGTGAGTTTAACAACTGCTTGTGGCCTGGCCACATGCCAAGGGTCATCTCCTTCCGAGTCGTGTTCTAATGGCGCCCCTCTGCCCCAGTCCAGGATCTGTGTGCGGCCAAGGCCCATGGGTGTGAGCAGCTCTGTGTCAATGTGCTCGGCTCCTTTGTCTGCCAGTGTTACAGCGGCTTCACGCTGGCTGAGGACGGGAAGACGTGTGCGGGTGAGTACTCCTCAGCCTTGTCAGTGAGGAGGGGCTGGTTGAACATGGTGAGGGGGTACAAGGGCCTCCCACGGATCTCAGGTTCTCCTATGACTTTCAGTCAAGTGCTCGGTGCTCGGGTCCAGTTGTTAGAATTTGAACTCTGAAGACATCACTTATGGCTGAGGCTAGCATCTTCTCATTCTAGGTCCTCAGCCCAAGGCATATTTCTGATAGTCTCTGTCAATATAATTATCCCTTTACATACTGCATCCCCTGAAAAGGACTGGGCAGGGTTTCATCAAATGCAGAGACTGTTTGGGATGGCCTGGCTTCTGCATCACTCACGTGTGGCGCAGGAGATTCACTTGTTGCCAGGCAAGATCAGTGAGTGGCCCCTCAAAAATGTAGTGGCCATCCTCCTCAGTATGGATCTGCAGTTGAGTGGTCCAAGTGACCACCAGGAGTAAGAGCCCCGCTGTATGCAAGAAGACACCATTGCCAGAGGAAAGGAACAGTTGCCTAGAATGCAAGCCCAGGGAAGAAGTGGCCAGGGCAGTGCTTGGAATTTCAGGCAGCAGCTTGCAATCAGTTGAGTGGCTTCCCACTTGGGCAACTCCACGTTGTGTGACCCAGTGGGAGGTGGGAGGGGTGGGATTGGCATCTGATTTCTTCAGTGAAGGACAGTGATTCTCCTTGGCACCTGGAGAGCAGGACAGCACGTCCCTAAGGCCACCTCCCGGTTGTCTACAAGGTCCCTTAAACTTGCACGATCTCATTCATTCTTCATCTACCAAACAGTGCCTGGCAAGCAGTAGACATTCAATGAACTGAATTCAGTACTTATAAGGTCACAAATCTGGAAGCAACACAAGGGAAAAGACTGGGACCTATATACTCTGGCTCCAAACCCTCCATTCTCTCTTCCTTATCCCATTGTTCTCAGAGTGTCTTGTTATGTCTCTTTTCACAGTGAGTGATGATTATATTGCACATAGAATTCACACTTTCCAGCACACTTTGATTCTTAGCTAAGGATGTGAAAGGAAAAAAGCCACAAAATGAAAAGTACAGGTGGCACCTTCTTCACAGGTGAGAATAGAATGGGCTAGTTTGCTTGTTTTTACACACTCATGGGAATGAAAACTGCCCTCATTGAAGTCCACAAATGAAATCGGTATATATTATGCAAGTAATATACTTTCATTGAGGATAAGGATTAAACAGATGAGAAAAATCACTTTAAATAGTTTGTTGTATTTTTCTGCCAGACTTTCCCCCATACAAATATCTAATTCAAGGGGCACCTGGGTGGCTCAGTGGGTTAAGCAGCTGACTCTTGATTTTGGCCTAAGTCCTGACCTCAGAGTCATGAGATTGAGCCCCTCGGCACAGTCTGCTTGAGATTCTCTCTCCCCCTCTCCCTCTGCCTTTCCTCTTGCTTATGTATGCACATGTACACACAACACACTCTCTAAATAAATAAAAATCTTGAAAAAAAGTTATAAAAATATCTAATTTAAAACATTTTGTTAAAGTTTAAAAAATGAGGTCATACTGTTTATTTTGTTTTTTTCCCCCTTACCAGTTGTTAAATGGGTAGAAACTTTGGGGCTGTTGGGTCAGAAGGAAATTAGACCATTGGGAATAAGGCCAGTGGATGAGGTTCAGGAAAAGAGTTAGGGTGTCTGGTTAACTGGGTGAGGGAAGGAGCAGGGAAGGCCCAGGGCTGGTGTGGGTGACAGGGAGTAGATGTAGCAGGGGCAGCAGGGGCTGTGGCTGGGGCAGGAGGCCTGCCTTGGCCCACGGGAAACTAGACAGTGGTGAGGAAGTCAGTTTTCTGTGTTGCCAATTAATTGCATAATCACCCTGTGTACTAGATAACTTTTGTGTCTCTAAGGGTTTTGCTGGCACTTTTGGGGTTTGATACTTGTGGAAGAGCAGCAAGCATGAGAGTAGAAGCTGTGTTTGCCAAGGAGCTGTCGTGGGCTGTGTTTATGACAGATGGGCATTTCTTGGGGCACCTGGATCGCCCAGTGGTTGAGCATCTGCCTTTGGCTCAGGTTATGATCCTTGGGTCCTGGGATAGAGTCCCACATTGGGCTCCCCACAGGGAACCTGCTTCTACCTATACCTGTGTCTCTGCCTCTCTCTCTGTGTCTCTCACGAATAAATAAATAAAATCTTTAAAAAAATAAAGATGGGCATTTCTCTTACTGCTGTTATTAGCATGTAAGAATATCTGCCTTTCTTCAGAGGGGGTGTTGAGGCAAAAGAATGGGAAAATGGGAGAGACTGTGTGTGACCCAGGCCTCATCGATCAGATAGTTCCTATCATTATCATCTTCAGCCAAGCACCTGACCTGTTGGAGGCTGGGAGTGAGATGATTAAGCTGTGGTGGTCCTTTGTTGCCAGTTGCTTTGGTCAGAGAGACCGAGCAAATCTCCAAAAGATCAAATGCTGCTTGATGGGGCTAGGCTCAGTGCAAAGCAAATGGTGGGAGTAAGAGAGGCTACAGAAGGTCACAGAAAAATGTCATTCTGATGGCCAGGATGGGAAAAATCTGGGCAAGGAAGGAAGGGTAGCTTTTGGGCAAGTGTCTGAGACAAGAGGAGGCATGAGGGCAGTAATGGGATGGATGTGGCAGTGCTCTCAAAGCTTGAGGGCTGAGGCTGGGTTAGGAGGGGCAGGCCTTGTTCCTGGGAGATGGTAGATGAGGGAGAGACCGTCACAGGAATGCTGACCTGAAAGCTAAGCAGGCAATCTACCCTGAGGACAGCAGTCTGAAGGGGCTTGTCCGAGATGGAGACCCCAGGTGTCAGATTTGGGAAATTTAGAGAAGCAAAGGCTGATAGGGACTCTGGAAGCATTCCATCAGCAGCTGGTCTGGGTGGCCTCTATGTGGATGGGAACATTAAGAATATGGTAACCATAAATCCCAGTTAATCCAGCATGATCCCAGTTTTTGCCTGTTGGCTCAATTCTCAATAGCCCTTCCTTTCACTTTCAAATGGGTTCTCTTCTGAGGGATAAATTATAGGTTCATTCTAGTTAAGGCCAGCCTGGCTTAAACAGTGGAAGAGACCAACTCTGTTGGGCAGAGAGTTCCCGCAGGTGTGAAGTAGAAGATGAAGCTGAAATACCAGGTGGAAACATAGGGTTCAGGGATTTGAAAAACAGGCTAAAAAGTCTAGACCTTATCTCTGGAAGAGAGACACGAAGGGCTTCTAACTGGGAGTGACACATGCAAAGCCTCATTTTAGGAAACTTAATCTCATGGTGCACTTCAGGATGGATTCCAGAAGGAAGATGGTGAGGGATGGAAAGACCAGTTAGGAGACTGGTGGTCCTCAGAGGAGAGGTGACAAGGGCCTGGAGGGAAGGAGTAAGTGATGACAAGGTGCTATAAATAAAGGGGTAGAGGAAAAGTCAGAAGTTGCTCCTGAGTCTGAGCTTCCATGACTCTGATGGACAATGAGTAGACAGGTGAGTTTGAAGTTGAGGTGAGACCCTGACAAGAATGTTTCAGAAAGGAGAACAGAGCAGCTCACAATGAAAGGAGGTTAGAACCAACCATGCAGCCTGGAAGCAGCACAGTGCTTTTCATTCTACATTTTAATTTCCACTTAGTTTTCACTTTTTTTTTTAATACCAGATTTTCTTTCTTTTTTTTTTTTAAGATTTTATTCATTTATTCATGAGAGACACAGAGAGAGGCAGAGACTCAGGCAGAGGGAGAAGCAGGCTCCCTGTGGGGAGCCCAATGCAGAACTCGATCCCAGGACCCCAGGATCACGCCCTGAGCTAAAGACAGACATTAAACCGCTAAGTCACCCAGGTGTCCCTAGTTTTCTTTTTTTTTCTTTCTTTTTTTTTTTTTTATTTACAATAGTCATACAGAGAGAGAGAGAGAGGCAGAGACACAGGCAGAGGGAGAAGCAGGCTCCATGCACCGGGAGCCCGACGTGGGATTCGATCCCGGGTCTCCAGTTGCGCCCTGGGCCAAAGGCAGGTGCTAAACCGCTGCGCCACCCAGGGATCCCCTGAATCACTTCTTTAAAGGTCCTATCTCCAAATACAGTCACATTATGATTGGGATTAGGATTTAAACACGAATTTAGGGTGAGGAAGATCATTCAGCCCAGAACACTTCCTTGTTGTTATCAATATCAATGAGAAACTTTCTGAGTTTCAAAATCCTGCATGTAGAAATCTGGTAGTGCCCTGAGGAGGAGAGGTTTTGTGAATCTGACTCTATGTGTGTATCTGCCATATACTCAGTAAGTCAACTGCTTCTACCATTTCTCTAATGATGGATTTGGTTTTGCTTACTCTGTCATCAGCAAACTTTAAAACCCAAATGCTCCTCTTTGAAATATCATGTTTCTACTAATGCCATCCGCTTGCAGACTGATGCAGGCTGAGAAAACTCGGGAATGTGACCAGATTGTAAATCAGAGACCATCAATTTTAGGCTTTATTACCTTGCACCCAAGTATCGTTTATCCTTGGACACAGAGTGATTTTTCACATATTAGGCAGAGACTGAACACAGAGAGACAGGCTTCCAGCCCTGAGATGTTAACACTTTGTGATCTGGAGGGCCAAGTTCCCCAAAGCCAGGGAATTACCCTTTCTCCTTGTAAAGGAGAGAATAGATACATCAGGCAAAACAATTGAAGGAGTTGAAGACTTGGAACAGCAGAAGCATCTCTGTGTTAGCCACATAGAGCACCTCCCTACATCTGCTCCCTAAACTTCACCTCTCTTCTTACAAGTACAGTTTTGCAACCAAGGAAGTTATGCAGAGAACCCAAAGCATGTGGCAAAGGGTGTCAGAGTTGAACAGACTGGAACTCTCTTGGTCTTAAAAAGCTTTTAGGTTCACATGCTTGAAGTGGGCTCCTCCACATCTAACCTTGTGCTGATGGCCTCCTCTGCTGCCCCCAGTAGCCAGCCAGCCAGCCAGTGAGTGGCCCTCAAATCAAGGAGGGATTTGACACGTTTTGGTTTTATAGGCCAGGGTCTTGAGGCCCAGGAATGCTTGAATCCCGCCTTGCCAATGCCTCCTCTCCCCTTCAGTTCCACAGACTGCTCAGCACACACACAAAAGCAAGACTAGCAGGAGAATCAAAGTCCAGGAGAAGCCTTCTTACCCCATGAGATTGAGCCTGTGGTTGGCGGATTGATGGAAAATGTCTTTGAAAGAGTGGAATCATAAAAAACTACATATCCAAAACTATCTTAACCTTTTTATTTATTTTTTTAAAGTTTTTTTTAAATTTTTATTTATTTATAATAGTCACACACACACACGGGGGGGGGGGGGGCGGGGGCAGAGACACGGGCAGAGGGAGAAGCAGGCTCCATGCACCGGGAGCCCGATGTGGGACTTGATCCCGGGTCTCCAGGATCGCGCCCTGGGCCAAAGGCAGGCGCAAACCGCTGCGCCGCCCAGGGATCCCCTTAAGTTCATTTTTAAAATCTATGGCTAAAAATTTTTTTCTTGTATAAGGCATACCAATAATGGATCGTCCATGATTTTCAATTTGGTTTCTTTAAATTGGAGCAAGAATTTGAAGACTTCTGTAAAGCAATCTAAGGGCAGGATCCTTGTAAATTTTAATGAAAATTTTCCTAGTCTTTTGCAGGTTTTATCCATGCCTGGTTCTATGGCAATTTCGGTTAGCAAATTGCTTTTAATTAAGTCTTTCCAAAGCTTTTTTTTTTTTTATTGGAGTTCAATTTTCCAACATATAGCATAACACCCAGTGCTCATCCCATCAAGTGCCCCCCTCAGTGCCCATCACCCAGTCACCCCACCCACCCCTCCCTTTCCACCACCCCTTGTTCGTTTCCCAGAGTTAGGAGTCTTTCATGTTCTTTCTCCCTCTCTGATATTTCCCACTCATTTTCTCTCCTTTCCCCTTTATTCCATTTCACTATTTTTTATAGTCCCCGAAAGAATGAAACCATATAATGTTTGTCCTTTTCCAATTGACTTACTTCACTCAGCATAATACCCTCCAGTTCCATCCATGTCGAAGAAAATGGTGGGTATTTGTCGTTTCTAATGGCGGAGTAACATCCCATTGTATACATAAACCACATCTTCTTTATCCATTCATCATTCGATGGACACTGAGGCTCCTTCCACAGTTTGGCTACTGTGGACATTGCTGCTATAAACATCGGGGTGCAGGTGTCCTGGCGTTTCACTGCATCTGTATCTTTGGGGTAAATCCCCAGCAGTGCAATTGCTGGGTCGTAGGGCAGGTCTATTTTTAACTCTTTGAGGAACCTCCACACAGTTTTCCAGAGTGGCTGTGCCAGTTCACATTCCACCAACAGTGCTTTCAATTTAGTTTTTATTTGTTTAAAAACTCAGTTTGTTTTAATGCTTATATTTAATTGGCTTTTACTATATCATTAATTATAATAACATGTATAAATGGCATGTATAGGTTTGGGAACAAAAACAATTTTGTCTCTTTTTAGCAGTGGTTTTCAATTTTTAACATGCATCTAAAGGTCTTATTAAAACACACATTCTTGGGCCCCATTCCAGTTTCTAATTCAGTAAGTCTGTAGTAGGGCCTGAAAATTTGCATGACTAACAAGAGTTCAAGGGATGATTATTGCAGCTGGTTCACCACCACATTTTGAGAACCAGTGCTCTATGGACATACAGTCAGTCCACAGGGAAAGAACACAGGTGTTGTGGAGAACAGGTGTTCCAACAGCCTTGAGCATTTAGTATGCTCTGGGCCTCAGGTTCCATATTTTCAGAGGAAATGAAAAGCATTGATTGATCAGGGGTTGGTTAAGTGGAGGTCAGTTAAAATAGCTTCTTCTGTACAACTCTATTAACTGCCTAATCCAACTCTGGATGTTCTAGAGCATTCTGGAAAAATGCAAATTTGGACTATATGGCTTAGATTTTAGGCCCCAGCAAAACCTCTAACCTGTCCTCACTCTATTAAGGAACCAGCATGCTTTGGTGTCTCTCTGAGGTACAGAGATGGGTGGGCTCAGTCCCTGACCACCGCATGGTGTGTAAGAAGAAGCTTCAAGAGAGAAGGAGAATCTGAGTTTCTGACTTTAGGTATCAATAGCAGCCTACTCATCATTGCAGTATTGTCCATGTCCTAGAGCTTAGAAGTCAGAGTAGCAGCTCCTCTCTTTGGTGGGAACACTTAAAAGTAGGTAGCCTGGGGTAGGATGAGCTGACAGATGGCAGAGACCCATATCAGGGGTTGGGAGATTATTAGGATGCCAGATGAGGCCCAGCCTGGGGAGGTTGGAGGTGGGAGGTACCCACTAACACAAGTCGGTGTGGGTCCCTACATGGCCCACTTCTGTAACGTGCAGACAGGGTGCAAGCCAGAGCTTGGTCTTAGGGTTCTCCATCTCCATGACTTTCGAATAATGTTACAATGGTTCTTGAACAATTAGACATTAACTTTTGGAAGAATTTGGTGCTAGAGCACTATTTATGTTATGACTCAACTCCAGCAACTGGCCAATGTCCCATGACATGCAGATCCTTCAACTATGTGAATGTCCTGTTCCCACAATGACTTGTGTATGAAATCCTCAAATGTTAGGTGCTAGTGGAATTTTTTAGGGAGGTGAAGTCACAAAAATTAAAAAAAAGTTTTAGACAAAAACTTAATGAAGCCTGGAAGCAAAAGGATAAGCACAATAAGCACAATTTATTAGCTTTTAAAACTCTGTGTCAAAAAAATAAAAAATAAAAAAATAAAACTCTGTGTCACACACAAAAAAATAAAAATAAAACTCTGTGGCTTTTTCCTTTGCATCTTTTGATCACTATGTTAAGTATGCTGTTATCCTCTTAGGGTGTGATTTTGGTTTTCATTTTTTTTTAAGATTTTATTTATTCATGAGAGACACAGAGAGAGGGAGAGACATAGGCAGAGGGAGAAGCAGGCTCCCTGCAGGGAACCTGATGTGGGACTCAATTTCAGGACCCCGGGATCACACCCTGAGCCAAAGGCAGACCCTCAATCACTGAACCACCCAGGCCCCGCTTCCCCAAAGTCTCTATTCTTTTTCCCCAGAATGGTCTTCACCCTCTATGAGTCGATCTTATTTACTTATTTTATTTTTGATCACCACCACCATCATCCAACTGTAAGCTCCATGAGGACTGGAATCTTTGTTATTTGCTCTGTCCTTAGCCCCTAACACAGAGCTAGGCTCCGGGGTAGGTGTTCAGTAAACATTTGACAAATTAGTGGGAAATAGGATAAGATATGTTCTCCTCAATGACTAAACCATTTACCATTATTAAATGTTCATTTAATTTTCCAGATTTTTTTGGTCACCATAAACAATGCTGCTATAAATAGCTTATTTCATATAGTTAATCTCTCCCTTTTATCCATTATTTCTTTGGGTCACATTTCCACGGTAAACACTGTCAAATGTCCTTCCAAAAGGGATTCTTGTCCGTTTATGATGCCACCACCATGAATAGCTCTGACTCTGTTTCCAGACTGCCTCACCACCATTGGGTTTTGTCCTGTCTTTATATGTGCCTTTACAACACTTATAAGTGTTGTAAGCCTTGAGGTGGTTTTGATTTACATTTATTTAACTTTTAAATACAATTGATAGTATGTTCTTTAGTTTATCTTCTGCTATAAATTGCCTGATCTAAGACCCCTGATTATTTTTTGGGTGGTGGGAGAAGAAGCCTTGGATTCCTATTTATTTATTCATACTTCTTTGGGGACAACAACATTAATCTTCATTTATATTTGTTATAAGTATGCTATTATTTCCATTCCATCCTATTATTTCCTTTCCTGTTTGTGTTTCTACTTAAACTCTGTGTTTGAATATTTATAGCTGTGGACTACTGTGCCTCAGAGAACCAGGGATGTGAACATGAGTGTGTGAATGCTGACAGCTCCTACTTTTGCCGGTGCCGTAAAGGATTTACTCTTAACCCAGATAAAAAAACATGTGCAAGTAAGTTACATTTAAAAAAAAAGTTGTATTGTGTGTGTGTGTTTTACAGTTTTGGGACCTAACATTTTATTTATTTACTTACTTTTATTTTAATTCCAGCGTAGTTAACATACAGTGTTGCATTAGTTTCAGATGTACAATACAGTGATTCAATGATAACAACAGAATTTTTTTTGATGCTCTTGCTGTGGGCACTGTGGCCATGGGACCTCTCCCAAGCATGCTATAGCACAGGATTATTTAGTCTAATACCTTCCACCACTATTCTTCCTTTGTCAGGCCTTTCTTCACTTGTCCCAGGACTGTAGTCCACCCTGTCTCAACATCACCCTTCACGGTGTTTGACAGAGGTATCTTTTATTGGAGACCACATGTGGGAGTGTTCTTCCAGCATCTGCCAACCATGCTGACAATGGGACCATCTTACTTCATGCTGGCTCAGCGTGCCTGTGCCCATCAGTATTAACAGAGCTTAAGAAATACTTTCCCTGAAGCCTTGTGACTTGTGGGCTTCAGCTCTGACTCCACACAAGTGCAGAAAATCGCTGAGCCTAAAGGAGTTGAATGTGGTTTCTTTCAAAAGGGCGGTTTGCAGAAAACTGTTCATTCTTTTGTTTGATATATTTAGTTCTATTTGATTTTTAACTATTTACATACAAATCAGAATTAATTTGAGCTACCAAAATCTGACCATAAAAATTTATAAACTAGAGATATTTTGCAAAAGGATTCCAAAAGCGTTCTGTTACCTGTAAAACGTATGTCAGAGCACTGCAATGAGGAGAGTGTGTATGGATTATCATCCTATGGAGGGGTTCACTTGAGAGAAGCTTGGCTTTAAAATATTAGGGCCCAACATTTTTAAAAAGTGAAGTTTTTTAAAAAATATTTTATTTGAGAGACAGAGCACGTCCAAGAGAGAGCACAAGCAGGGGGAGCAGCAGAGGGAGAGGGAGAAGGCTCCTGGGTGAGCAGGGAGCTGGACATGGGACCCTGGGATCATGACCTGAGCCAAAGGCAGATGCTTAACTGACAGAACCACCCAGGCATCCCTAAGAAGTGAAATGTAATAGATTAGCATAAGTTATCTCTGAAACATACATCAATGAGAAAATAGGATTGTAATTCATAAAAAGTTCATGTACCCACAACTTTCTAAAATACATCGATTATGTAAAGTGGGATATACTCGCACAGTGTTTTTAAAAAGCATCCCCTATAAAACTCCTGAGATATAAACTTACCCTTCCATCCCTAAACATCAGCAGCTTACAAATACTGGAGCCAGAGGCAGGGCAACTGTAAGAGACACACTCAGTCAAAAACATATATTTCTGGAGTCCTAACTATATGTCAGTAGCAATGAACAAGGCGAGCTCCCTCCTGGAGGATGAGATACCTTGGCTGTCTTGAAGGCAGAGCCATCATTTATTTACCAAGGAAAGAAGGCTGAACAGGGGTGGCCAGGAGGAGGAAAGATGTGCAAGGATATGAGCCAAACAGGCTCAGGCCCATGCCTGGCACATGACCTACATGCAGTTTATTGAAAGAAGAAGTGAATGAATGACTGTACTCCTCCGTTCCTAGTCTCCCTTCCCTTCAGAATATTCTGAGCCATAAATCAGCAGCCTGGGCTGTGATCATGGCTGGGAACACGGTTGCTGGGCTGCCAGGTCAGTTCTCTTCATCAGAGAGGAGGCCATATGTTTCCAAGGGGCAGCCTCGGCCTCAGATCAAATTCCAGCTCTTCTGATTTTTTGCTGGGTGATCTTGGGCAAGTTATTTGTACCTCAGTTTTCCTTAACTGTAATAGGGGATAATAATACTGCCTGCTTCCTACTGTTGTTTTGAAAACTAAATGAGATAATCCCTATAAACCATTAGGCAACTTGTCTGGTGCTGAGCAAGTTCTTTTAAGAGATGATACTGCCTTCAAAGACTTTCAATTGGTATTTATTGAGCATGTAACACATGTGTGAGCTAAGTTTAATAGTGCATAAAAGAATTCAAGACTTGGCCCCAGGTTTCCACTGTGCTGAGACTTGGAGGGAAACACACATCCTACCCAGTCTCCCTCCTACCTCTGCAGAGCCCCTTCCCTGCCCAGATTCCCCATCCCCAGCACCTCATCATCACCCCCGCCCTATGGTTCAGCATGTTTCTTATCCCAGAATCTCCTGCGATGTGGAGAATTACAAGCCCCACAATGGTGCAGGCAAGGGGACCCTGGCTGTGGACACCGAAGCACAGGGGCACTGAGAGGAGAGGTCTGGCTGGGAGGCCTCACCAGTTAGGCATGGAGCCCAGCAGTCCAGCTGTCTCTGGGCCCTGGTAGAGTCAATACCCAGAACTGGGCGGAGAGGAGTGCTGGGCATTTACAGGGGTCTGGGCAGACAGCATTGGGGAGATATGTTTCCTACAAAAAGGACCCCCTTCCTACCATGCTTAGGGGCAGGATGAAAGCCAGACCTGGGGAGGTGACTGGTAAGAGGCAGGGGACCCCCCGCTTACCTGGAAAACTGCAAGAGTGAGATATAAAGCAAAGTCCAGCAGTAAGAACTGAGACCCTTGGGAGTGCCTTACATGTGTGAGGGACAAGAACAAGAACTGTGCATTGGAGGCCAAATATAAAGACAGAAACAGGGATCCCTGGGTGGCGCAGAGGTTTGGCGCCTGCCTTTGGCCCAGGGCGCGATCCTGGAGACCCGAGATCAAATCCCACGTCAGGCTCCCGGTGCATGGAGCCTGCTTGTCCCTCTGCCTGTGTCTCTGCCTCTCTCTCTCTCTCTCTGTATGACTATCGTAAATAAAAAAAAAAAAATTAAAAAAAAAAAAAGACAGAAACAGGATGGAGGTAGAAAATCAAAATCAAGCAGTCATCCTGTTAGTAATTAATGTGGCATCACATCAGCTTCCAGCCAAGTCAGCCTGGCTGCTGCTGTGATGTTGAGAGATCTTTTAAAAAATTTTTTCCACTTCTCATAAACTTGCAAAAAATGAAATAAGACAAAAGATACTCAGTTCCTTAAATGTTGTCTCTATTTTTAACCAAAAGTATATTTGAGGGCTTAATCCAATTCGTAAGTATATAATTATTGTCTGAAAAAGTAGTCTGTCAATGTGATATACCGAGCATGATTAACTTATAATTAAGCCAAAGTGTACATAATAGAACTTTATGTTCCTGAAAAAATAATAGCATTTAAAATATGTAAGTACTCAAAAAGGCACCACTTTTTATATCAATGCTTTACCCTAAAGCAACCCATCCAAAACCATCTGAATATTTTGTAGAGAAGAGTAAAAATATGCAGGTACTATTAATTTGCAAAATATTGGAAGACTTTTTTTCATTATGGTAAAATATACGTAATAAATTTACAATAATAACCATTTAAGGTGTACAGTTCAGTGGCATTAAGTAAATTCATGTTGTTGTGCAACCGTCACCACCATCCAGCTCCAGAACTTTTCATCTCCCCAAACTGAAACTCCATACTTGTGAAATAATTCCTCATCCCCTCCCCATCCTCCAGCCCCTGGCAAACACCATCCTACATTCTGCCTGTATGAATTTGACTACTCTAGGTATCTCCTGTTAAGTGGAATCATATGACATCTGTCCTTTTGTGAGTGGCTTATTTCACTTAGCATTATGTTTCCAAGATTCACCCATCCATCTTGTAGTGTGTGTCAGAATTTCCTTCCTTTTTAAGGCTGGATAATATTCCATTGTGGGTCCATTGTATGTATACATCACATTTTGTTTATCTATTCATATGTCACTAGATGCCTGGGTTGCTTCCACCTTTTGGCTATAGTGAATAAGGCTGCTATGAACATGAATGTGCAAGCATCTGTACAAGGCCCTGCTTTCAAACTGCTGGATCATATATAGCAAGACTTTATGAGGTCTAATTTGAAATCATTACTACTGAGCCAGGCATGAGAACATTCTCAGATGTTCAGGGTCTTTTCATGGAAAAGATAGAGGACACTGGACAGGAATTCAGGTCTTTGATATCAAAGAGACTCTGGGTTTCATGTCTAATGCTTAATTGTCTCATACCTGTTATAATGAGTTAAGGCAATTATAGACATTTGTAATTCATATAATATAATGTTGCTATTATTTACCAACTTTGAGAGCATTATACTTATTATTTTTTAGACTCCATTGATTACTTGGTCAACATTTCTATCTTTCTTTTTTCAAAGAGGAATGTTTTGCACAAAGTACTGCATGAATATTTATACTTTCATTAAAAGTGAAACACAGGAACACCTGGGTGGCTCAGTCAGTTAAGCGTCTGCCTTTGGCTCAGGTCATGATCTCAGGGTCCTGGGATCGAGCTCTGCTGACCAGGGAGCCTGCTTCTCCCTCTCCTCCCTGCTCATGTTCTGTCTCACTATCTCTTACTCTCACCTTCTCAAATAAATAATCATTTTTAAAAAGATTTTATTTATTTATTCATGAGAGACATAGAGAGAGAGAGAGAGAGAGAGAGAGAGAGAGAGAGAGAGGCAGAGACACAGGCAGAGGGAGAAGCAGGCTCCGTGCAGGGAGCCTGATGTGGGACTCAATCCCGGGACTCCAGGAAGATACCCTGGGCCCAAGGCAGGCACTAAACCATTGAGCCACCCAGGGATCCCTCAAATAAATAATCTTTAAAAAAAGTGAAACAGAGGGAGAGAATAATTTTATACTAAATCAGCAGCATAAGATATAAAATGTGTAAAATGTATCAGGCCAGCTGGTGGTTAACCTACTATAATATGCCACTTAATTTTGTGAGACCTGTGTGCATGAATCAAAGACATTTCTTGGAGGGGGCCTTGAAGTTCAACCCAGTTCTATCCCAACTACCCATCCTACAATATTCCCACCACTCTATCATCCAGCATGCACTTGAATACTCCTACTGACAAGACACTCACTACACTCCATGAAGTGTATTCCACTTTGTGAGCTCTGACTCTTAGAAAGTGATTCCTTCAAC